CTTAGTTGGGGGCTAAATTCCCAAGACATCTCTTGCGTAGTCTCCTAAGGTCTCAGTAAACCTAGGCTGTAAGTTCAACATGATTTTTTATGGGAGGTATCATCTGATAGTTTCCAATTACCTTGTAAATTTAATTGTTCCTGAGGGATTCCTTTCTCTTCTGGCAGTATAGATAGCTGCTGCTATTGCTGCCATTAGGTTTATTAAAAATATGAACAACTTGAAAAATGTATATGTTTTCTATATGCTGAAATAAGGTATAGTGGTCTCACACATTCTAAACTATACAATTGTCCTCAGATCTGCTTTTTTTGGGGGGGGGTCCAGTCGTGGGGCCTGAACTCTGGGCCTGGGCGCTGTCCCTCAGCTCTTCAGCTCAAGGCTAGCGCTCTACCATTTGAGCCACAGCACCACTTCCGGCTTTTTTTTTCTGCTTATGTGGTGCTGGGGAATTGAACCCAGGGCCTCATGCATGCAAGGCAAGCAGTCTACCACTGAGCCACCTTCCCAGCCCCCTGCTTTTTTTTTTTTTTAAACTTTTCTTTTGGTGCCAGTACTGGGACTTGAGCTCAGGGCCTAGGTACTTTCCTTGAACTTTTTTACTCGATTGGTACTAAAGCACTGGAGCCATACTTCTACTCTTGTCTTTTTGGTGATTAATTGAAAATGAGAGTCTCACCGACTTTCTTGCCTGGGCTGGCTTTGAACTTCAACCTTCAGATCTTAGCCTTCTGAGAAGCTAGGATTACAAGTGTGAGTCCAGCTTTAGACCTGCTTTTGGCTTATTTTGAGATATTTTTTCCATTGCAAACAACCATTTTCTTCCCAAATATACTCTCTTTTGGAATCCCCTGTGCTTCTTACACCTCTTCCAATCGGTTGTCTTGATCCTTAGCATTCAGTACAAGGACACAGTTCTGTTTTGGGAAAAGCAAACTTGGCTCAGAGCCAAAGTGTGCTGCACACGATAGGGTATAATTTGGTGCCTGTGGGATTTACACCTTTTACTGAACCTCCGTTTCATTCTATCTGATCATAATGAAGATCTTCTTCCCTGTTAGACAATAGGACCAGTTCCAATCAGTCTCGGCAACAGCTGTGGGATGATCTTCATAGATACTGAACTTTGAGACAATTCGTCTACAGTGCCTTTCTTACCACGAAGTATTGGCTGCTGGTCATGACCCCTCTATCAACATTGCCCAAAAGGCTGGGTCATTTAGGTTGTGAACCCAGTGCAGGCTGTGAGAATATCTCCCTTCCTTGCCTTGGTTTAGTCCTGAAGAAAGATTTTAGCCCAATTAAAGGTATCACTTACCCACATCAGAAGATTATAATCTTGCTAGGAAGACTTATGAAGATGAAACATGTGGAGAATGAATCAAATGAATTATACTATAAGTCTTAGGAATTAAGAGATGAAGAAATAAGAACTGTGGGTGTGGCCAGAGTGAAAGTAGGTTCAGAACATTTGAGAAGAAACTCAAGACCCAGCAAGGTTGATACTTGTCCAGTGAGCAGTGCTTCAGACATCCCCTTCGTCAGGCCCCAAATTCGACATGCTGAGTCTCCTGACACTCCTTTCTTCAACCTGCCCTGGAACCCACCATTCTCTGAGCTGTTCTGACGTGTTCTGCAGGCACACAGTCTCCATCTCCTGTGTCTCTCTATCTCTAGCCCTAAAACCCCTTTGTGCTGAGCATCCTGGGCCCAGAGGCACTTCTCTAGCTGTAGCCAGAGTGACTGCTTCACCGTTTATTTTGTAGGGGCCTCTTGGGGCCTTTGGTTTAGCACCTGGCCCAGGAAGCCCCGCCCCTGGAATCAGCTGGCAGATGCTGTTTCATCTGCTTGCATCCTTCTCCAGCTAGTGGCTTTGTTCCTTCTACTGAAACAAACATGCTTCCACATGCATTCTTCTGGATTCTGAACACAAAGCTGTTTCATACTTCTAACGTTATTGACATTTAACATCAATGTTAAATGTTGTGGGCCTGTGACAGGTTGTTGGGGGATACTTTACCATACTATTACAAGAAAAGAAAAAAACCTTACCAAGTGGGGACTCAGGAAGTATTGTCTTTTTTCTTTAGCCTTAGATCTAAGAAGTATATTAAGACTCTCCAATAAAATAAAAGGGATGTGCTAAGGAGAATGTAGCATGAACATCCCATAACTTATTTTTTTTTTAGGCAGGGAAGAGTGAGACAGGGGTGAAAATAATATTTTAGAGACATTTTCTTCCCCCACTTTGTTTTACAGGTGGGACTCATGTTTGAGCCTTTCCTCCCTCCAAAACTTTTTTGATCAAACATTTAAAAATTATTTGGAAACTGGCAGATTAAAAGAGAGAAAGCATTTAAAAACTCCCCAAATGCCTGTCCCTAAAGAGTACAAAATGAAAAAGCACATAGGATTTGAGTTAGACCAGGGGTACCTAGAGGTAAGTAGCACTTGGAGTTATGTGGTACCTAGGCAGTAGAGTTAGGTAGTACCTACAGCTAGGCAGTACTTAGTGTTAGGTAGTACTTAGAGGTAGGTAGTACCTATTCTTACTCCTAGTCTTTTCTTACCTAGTGTTTTCAGAGAAAAGAAGCATCAGAGACAAAGAAGATCTGGAAGGAGGGGTGAGGGAACAAACATACAGAGGTTGAGGAGTGACTAGTAAATTCACTAGTAAGACAGTTAAAATAAGTTTGCAATGCTGTGACTTCCATCTGGGCCACTGACTAAGAACCACAGCTGCCAGGCAGAGACACCAGCCTTTATAGGCACAGGTCCTGGGGGCAGTGATCTGTGTGGAACATATCAGAAAAGTGTGGGTGAGGAAGTGATAGGAACTTCGACATTAATGGATGCTCCCATTCTTGAGGGGACAGGTGTCAAGCAGAGGACAGTGATGACAAACAGCTTAGAACATGACAGTTTTGCTGCAGAATCATTTTTTTCCATTAATTGAAAACTTTGCTATTTCTCCATTTCCTGAGAGGTGTATTCAGAGACACATGAGCAGAAAGCTTTGTGCTTATTTTTATTTCTTCCAGTGATATTTGGAACTCAGCTTTTAAGATCCAGGATGATTGTGCACCCTATGGATTTATCCATTAGCACTGACAAAACCAACATCAGAGCCCGGAGCACGTGGATAGGAAGAACAATCTGGTAAACCAAAAGTTATTTTTGTTCTTATTTGTGTAATTCCAGGGCTGTGTGACTTGGGGTAGATAATAATTTACCTGGTTTCCTTATCAGATTGCTTATCTAGAAACAAGGAGATCACTCATTTTTATATGCTTTTCACTGCCCACCAATACTGCTACATAGATTGGGATCCTGGTAGAAAAGATGAAAGAATAAAGTTCTTCAGAGCCAAACATCAATGTGTTTGAATGACAAGCAGTCAGGTTTTGCTGGTGGTCTTTCCCAAAGGGATGTATTCTTACTTTGGACAGCTGCCATGTTCTGGGGCCGAAAGGACAAAAGGAATCAGTCCATGGGGACTGTAGAGATGAAGGAAGGACCGAAGAGTACAGGTCGTGGATGGCAAAGAGGAGACTGTCACGACTGCAGCGGGGATCCTGACTAGGACGCTTGTGGAAAAGGTGACCAGAGGTGATGGTGTGGGTGAGCACACAAAGCCTTCTAAGAAGAAATGCTCCAAATTGAAGTCATTTGATAGTATTGCCTCGGTGTTTGGCTTGGCATATAAATGCTGGCTTCCTATTTTCTCATTCTGAAATTGGGTGTTAACCTAAATTGACAACAGGAAGGATAGCTGAGGTTGGACCATCCTAAACAAATCTGATTCACTTCTGAAGATCCACAAGTTCCTTCCTTTTGTTCTTTGTTTCTGCTATGCTACTCTTTTAAACCAAGGATGAACGGACACTGGGTAATTTAGATCACTTGTGTGCTTTCTGTTCAGAAGGACCAGGGTTGAATCAGTCTACAAACAGAATGCATGTATCCCAGAAACACATGTGCTCAAAACATCATCTGATTTGTTTTTTGGAGGAAGGAGGCCGAGGTGTAATGGTAAGATGGTTTATGCGCCATCACACATGGTTAAACCCACTGAGGGCAGACCAGCATCTCGACCTTTGCTACTGGTGTTAATAGAGATAATAGAAGGTAGGCGGTACAGATGCCTAAGACGGAGCACAGCCTTCTGGTAGTCCAGATACGTACTTGTTTCTCCCACCGTGCGTATGAACGAGGTACCTATTTTTTTTCTATTTCCTAATGTCTAAAATGGAATAGTGCTTGTGTCATAGGATGGTTGTTCAGAATTTTATGAGACACCCTAACAGCCTTAGCATGGTACCTGACACAGAGTAAGTGCTCAATAAATTTTTACGATGATCATTAAAGCCACTTTAAGGGTGACAAACATTTCACTTCCAGACCCATTTAATGGGTCAGCAAGAGCAGAGGGAGCCTCAGTGGTTAAGGAGCCAGCTAGGGAGCCAGCATGGTGGCTGGAGGGGGAGGGAGCCCCGTTTCCCTTCCTTCTGCTCCAGGCACGCTGCACTTCGAGGTGTCTGTGCCTCAGTTCACTCAAAGGCACCCACCCTCAGGGTCCCCAAATCGACCTGCCCAAGGTCACCAGCAGAGAGAGACAGACAGACAGAGACACACACACAGAGAGAAATAGAGACAGAGACAGATAGACAGACAGAGGAGGAGAGGAAGAGGACGGAGAGGGGAGGGGGGAGAAGATAGGAGAGAAAGGAGAGAGGGGAGAGAGAAAGGAGGGAGAGGGGAGAGAGAGGAGAAGGGGGAGAGGGTGGGAGAAAGGCAGAGGGGGTGGAGGGAGGGAGGGCGGGAGGGCGAGAGCGCCGGGGAGCGCCCCAGGTCCCGCCGCGCCCCCCACGTCGCCCGCCGAGGAGGCTCTGTGCCTGGGAGGTGGGGGGGGCGCCGCGACGAGGAACGCGCGCCGGACCGAGACCGCACCGCGGCGCACGCGCACACGGCCGCCCGGCGCCGGGGAGGAGACGCAAGGCATGGAAAGTTCCAGGGGCTGGAGAGCCCTAGGTAGAAAGCGTGGCGGCGGGGGCGGGCCGAGGGGCGTGGCCTCGCGAGGGGGCGTGGCCCCCACTGCGCAGCTGCCGGAGCCTTTAAGCCCGGGCTCGCGCGGCCGGAGCGTGCTTTCGCCGCCGCCGGGGAGCCGTCCGCTTCAGCCGCCGGTGCGTTCCCACCCATCCCTCCCCTCGCAACCCCGGGCCCGCACCCGCGTCCCCGCCCCTTCGCACCGGGGGACCCAGTCCGCTTCGGAACCGCGCGCCGAGCGTTCGGGCATGCCCCGCTACGAGCTGGCTTTGATTCTGAAAGCCATGCAGCGGGTAAGTGACCTTCCCTCAGAGCCCGTCCTCCCGCGCGGGCGGGCGGGCGTCCCC